AATAATAATAATAATAATAATAATAATAATAATAATAAACCTGAATTTCTGTCTGCCTTGTTTACAAAACTTACCTTAAGAAAGCTGCAAGAAAGAAAGGTTCAGAGAGCTTGAGCCCAGTTAGCTAGGGCGAGAGGATCTAGCTCTATTAACTTGTGCCAATGTAAACACAGCAATTCCTCCCCAATTAGAAACACTAAATGCATTAGACTCGGTGCAATACCAAGGCCTTTTCATGCAATTAATGTGGCCTTAGTCTCCAGTTGCTGCTTGGAATGGCTGAGATGGTTAAGATGGATACAGTTTCAGTTGAAGGCCAGTCACTGGAAGTCTGATTGGGCAGGCTGGAGTCATCATGGAAGTATAAACATGAGGTCGGATGGGCGTTTGGTGGTTGGGGTTTTCTTTGGGTCAGCCATGGAACAAATCGTCCTATCGACTGACCTAACTTACTTACTGGGGAGCGCTGGAGTTCCTAAGAGGAGGGGGTAGCTCTGAGGAAACGGAAGCAGCATTTCAGCTGTGTAAATTAGATACGAAGGGGATATAATGAGGATAAGTCAATTCAACTTTGAACTGCAGTCATTATAAATCTGAAATGACACACCTATTTTGCAGTTAATCACTGAATTACATCAAATGTTGCCTTTATTGCAAGATGTGTAAATATAATTAATTACAATAAAATTTTAAATTGGGAAATGTTTTGTGACAGAATTTTAAGGCAAATATTTCTTATATTATGGGATTTTAATCATAATGGTATGGAAAGGCACAACATTGGGGAAAATATTCAAGGGGATGACAAGATGGAAGCAACTAATCCTTTTGAGAAGGCACATTAAAACCAAAAGACATAACATAATTTTATTTGTCTCATATACAGGGAGGAAGGGTGGGTTAGTGGTCGAGTGATTAGTCCACAGTGACATTAAATTATTAGTAAATAATTAGTTAAATGGTGAGTGCAGGAGTGATAGCATGGCATAATGGTAAAAAAAAATACAAATAAATAAGATTAATTGATTAAATTAATATATGTAATAAAAAAAAATTGGTTTGGGGGATTAAGTTAGGTTAGGTAATGCTTTATTAATCCACAGGAAATTACAATATTTGTGGGGCCTTGATGTTGTCTTATTTGCACCACTGAACTGATATGTATCAATTGGGCTCCTATTTAGAAGACATCAAGTTGTAAACTCTCTTTTTGTTATAACATTAATATAAAGTAAGTGTAGATGACATTATGCATATTTTGGCACTAACATGTGAATATAAAATGTTCAAAATGCCCATTTTAGCTTAAAGAAAAACTGCAACAAAACAGTTGCAGGTGAAATAAATATCTATTTATGAATAGATAAATATCTATTTATTTCACCAAGGTGAATGTCACGTCCAAATTATGACACAAGTGTGGCCTTCTTGAGGAAAAGACAAGAGAAAACTGGGATTAACTGGTAACAACACAAAGGAAACAGAACACCATTGTTCCAAGCCTCCTTTGTCCAGCAGGCATTGTTCAGTGTGTGTTCCTGCTGTTGTTGATTTGCACATCAGCCTGGGGTGCTGTACTCTCTCAAAGATAGTTTGCTAACAGAGCTTTCACTCCATTGCCTCTAATGAAAATCCATACTAAACATTTAGCTCTGTGTGAGAAAGGGGGGAAATTCAATAAGACACATAACATAATTTATAAATTACAGGAAGAAGCAATCGAACCGACAGGCAGAATGCAGGGATGTTTCTTTGATTCTGCTTGCTAATTTTGCCACATTTTGAGGACCGAATCTAAATGCCCAAGTGAGAAGTGTGTATGCGTGTGTGTGAGATGAGACCAAAACCTCATTTTCCCTTACAAAATGAAATCCAGCTTTGTTTTTCATTCAGTCTGTTCTTCCACATAAATTATTAGTCATGCCGCCAGCAATGTCTCCACTGAGGTATTCCCCAAACTAATGGTCGCTCTTGGACAGCACCGTCGATAGTAAACTAATCTGCAGCCTGCGAGGCACAGGAAACAGATCTCATTAGCACTCATTGAACTATCTTCTAAGGAAACTTTCATCTTTAGACCACTCTGACAACAGGCCTGAAAGCCAGACTAATGTCACTTACTAGTTCTGAGTTTAATGGGTGCCTGAAAATGTCTCATAGATGGATGAGCAGTAAAAGAGTGAAGTAACCTGAGTTATTTTTTTTCCTTATGCATTCTTGCAGCAGTCAATGGAGCTTAAGCAATAGTTTGAAGTGCTGTATATGGCTATATATGAGGTTTTCTTACTGTTTTAACTCTTACAACATTTTAAGCACCTGAAATCAATTCTTTATGCATTTTGCTTCTGTGCATGCCATACTTTATTCAAATGTATTTTCTTTTCTGTGTAAAATGCAAAACAAACATGTTTATAATATTCATTAATACCCCCAATAATAACCGTAGTACACTTTCGCACTTTGGAAATATAAAGCATCTGCAAATACACAAAGACTGCTCCATTTTAATAGCTTTTCAAATAAACTCATAGTTGAAGTAAGAGCGCCACAGTGTGGTCAAAGCACAAGCATCTGTAGAACTTAAAATTAGATGCCCACTTTATAGCATCGTGTTCTCTTCAGTGAACAGCTAAAAAGCCATTTTTTGTGTCCATTTTTAGCGGGTGGGTGCTGTGTCTTTTGTATGCAAGCCAGTTCTTTCGTCTCCAGTGCAGAGTTGTCAAAAGACAGCCATTTAGAGACACTCACCTAAAATTTAGCTGCATCCCTACTCCAAAACACATGCATCAAAATTGTAGAATTATCTCATTAAGTTTTGTAGAGGCCTAGTAATTAACCAAGCCAATCATTTATTCCAAATAAGTTCGAAGAGGGATGTGTCAAGAGCGCAGCTCTAAAGAAACAAAGTTAGAGACTTCTGCCCTAGTGTGTTTTTTCTAACATCTCCCATCTATTATTATTTGTCAAATAATGTTCAAGTCTACAGACATGTTTGCTGAGTGGACATGTGGAAATAAACTTCTTCAGAAACAGTTTCCAAAGTGGTTATGTATTTTAATTATTATTTTTTTTTATTTAATGCCTAACAAAGTCAAAAAATCCGGGGAGATTGTGACGATTTATGCATTTATTACCACTAAGGGGCGATATTAAATACATCTCACCTATCGCGAGATTTGAAGTTTTCTCCTTGTTTGTTTACAACCCGAGAACTTCCTGTTAGCTTTACTTCAGCTTTGTCCGTGTTTGCTAACAGCTTCATTTTAGCTAAACGTCAGTTTTCAAGATGGGATGTGATGGTGGGACGATTCCAAAAAGACATGAGTTGGTGAAAGGACCAAAAAAAGTTGAAAAGGTTTGTGTTTCTTTATATTTCGTTTACAATTGGGTTATGGTTAGCTAAAGCCGTTGACGAAAGCAATAAGTGGCTCGCTAATGCTAACGGCTAAACTTGTTATACGCTTGTAATTATTTGTTGTTTTACCTAATTTAGAGACATTTTTTCTTATAGACATTTATACTTACAGATTTAGTAGAAATTAAGTAAAGTTCACCTCTGGAGACAACTATTAGTGTTATTAACGAGCTAAAGACAAGACTAGTTACTTAGCGTAATAGCCTTTCTGATTACCCCAGGTTGACAAGAATGCTGAACTCGCTGCCAAGTGGAAGTACTGCGCCTTGAGCCAAGAGAAACTGAGGCGACCCATCGTTTCATGTGAGCTGGGCAGGTAAGATGCTTTTGTCAACACAAAACGCCACTTTGAGACGAGGTTCAGTTACCATCGTACATTATAGGCATCATTAGGCTTACCATTTAGTACAGGAAAAAAAGTAAGTAATTCCACAAATAAATAATATGTTATCGTAATGATACCCATGAGATTTGGCCATGTAATTTTACTTTGCATCCTTAAATTAATCTATTTAGACGCCCTGAAATATTGACGATGTTGTTTTCCAGACTTTATAACAAAGATGCTATCATTGAATACCTCCTGGATAAATCTGCTGAAAGACCAAACGCTGAGGCTGTTACGCACATCCGTGGGATTAAGGTATATTTATTGTAAAGTGAAAAAATGTATTTTGATGTACATGAGCTTAAGCTCAAGTGACTGCGTCTGTTTATTTTATAACCTTTTTTTGGAATGTTTCTGTCCTTGCAGGATATAAAGGAGCTCAACTTGACTGATAACCCTGCATGGGAGGGAGAGAGGAGAAATACAAAAGGAGACAGATATGAGGACATCCACTGTGGCATGTTCATCTGTCCTGTTGTTGGCCTAGAGATGAATGGAAAGCACAGGTAATAAATAGTATTTTCTGGCCTTAAACCTAAGATTTCATAATAAAGACCTGAAAAAAATGCCACAAAATGTTTTCATGTAGGTTCAAAGTATATTATCTGGGGTAGGGCTGTTTAATTTTATCGATTCTACCATATTCAGCAATATTTTTTCCTTAGAAAGTAACAATTTTTCATTCCCGAGTATTGATACATTAAATCCTACTTTGAGTTTTATGTCTAATCCACATATATTAAATGACAGGTATCACACATGGCATTTTTTTACCCAGTTGCTTATGTATATTAAAAAAATACATGTAATGAAACAACCAATTACAATTATTTAAATAATGAAGTAGATAAATTACATTATCTAAGTGAATAAGACAAAATGGGTTCATTTTCTGCATAATCAAATACACAAAATCACAGAATCAACATTTCATCAAAGTAAATGTATAGCAAATGTATAACAAAAACAACATTTGTTACACCAGTGTTACACTATCAGTTCAATTAAGTCAATCCGAGTCTGTGGAACAGTCACAAAATGTCACTACAATCACTCTGTCCCTCTAAAATTTTTCAGAAAATCTTAAAAATGTATTGAATCTTACCAAATCGTATTGTTTGCTTTATATTGTATTGTTTGCTGAATTTCAAAAAACAATATTGTTTTGTTTTTCACATATCGTATTGCATCGTGAGATTAGTGTATCGCTACAACCCTAATATGGGGTATGTTCCTGTTGCAGGTGTAATTAATGGTATGCTAAAGATTCGTGTCCTTTATAAATTCTGTTCAACTCTTTGTTTTATATGTACTCATTATGCTTCCCAGACAGGTGCTGTTTTCTGGTACCTTAGGAACGCTGACATGTCATGCAATTTTCAGTACTCCCATTACCGCTTTTTACAAAATACTGGCCAAGCTGTAAAGTTTTTAAAATTCAAAAAACTGTACAGTTATAACTTTACCATCCCTAAAGTGAGGAATAATTTTAATATGTTTAAAGTCAACTTGAATTGTATCCTTGATTATTAAAATGTTTTTTGTCTGCTGTAAGGTGCAGTGATTGGTCAACAAAAACATAATACAAGTTTACTTTGTTCACAAAATAACCCTTAGCTACTTGAGAAATTAGGAAAAAAAACCTGAGAAAGCACTTATGCTTTATTTGTTTTCCTTTTAGGTTCTGCTACTTGCAGACCTGTGGTTGTGTGTTTTCAGACAGGGCCCTTAAGGAGGTAAAGACTGAGATCTGCCATAAGGTAAGCATTTTTTTATGTTTTTATTTACTATTATTATTCTCCCTTTTTTGGTACTTACAAGTATTTTTCATGTCTTTGTATGATTCCTCATAACTGTTTAGTCAGTGAAATGTCAGTGGCACCTGGCTCACTGTTGATAGTATGTGGCTCATTATCTGGTGCCATCATGGGTTTGACATAGCCTGAGTAGTTGATGGGAAGAGCACTGGTAATGACTTTTTGAAAGGCTCAGACCTTAACCTGACAAAAAAAAAAAAAAAAAAAATTCAACCTCCTTTTTATTTTCTCTCTTTGTCTGTAATATGTAATGCACAATGCTATTTGTAGCACAAATTAAACGCAGCACAAACACCCAATACCAACTACCAGGCATGATGTTGGAGGGAGCATGATTTGGGCTTCCTTTGTTGTTTTACATGCTCTGTGTATGTGGAAGTCATTGTTGACATGTAAACCTACCTGTTTATGAAAGTACTCTACAGTAGAGAGAGAGACTATAAATGTGACAGCATGAGACTGGCTGAAACAGGTTCATCAGCAGATAAATGACCTGAAACAACAGCAAATCCACAACTGAATTACTGAAAATATAAATCAAGGTGTTAAAATGGTCGAGTCAAAGACCAGACTTCTTGTAGTATGATCTGCAGATGGGTTTTCTTAAAAAAGATGACACCACATTTGAAGTTGTGTAGAAAATGACAATTGGAGCTTTTGCTGCTAAAAGTGGCCCAATGACCCAGCAAATAATATGGAGATGTACTGGTTGTTTCCCATGGTTGTAGTCGTTTTGTAGATGCATTGTTCACATTTCAGCTCAACCTTTCTGGATTTCCTTTCTGACCCAATTGTAGCCACATGGGAATCTCTCAGCGATGGAATTAGAAGTTATTTTAGTTTTTGACCTTTTAGTTTGACATAACTTCAAAGTTGTGTTTACAATTTCTCTAGGTTAGGCTATTTTTTAGAAATAAGACAGTAGATAAAAGCTGACCTCTTTTGGTGTCTCTGTTGAAGTAAAAGTATGTTGAAGACAGACATGGTCTAGCTGTTTTGAGTTAGTCAAAAATAAGGTTAAGCTACCAAAAATAACTGTCTTTCTCATGAGAAACTGACCCTGATACAAGCTGGGACTTCAGCTTGTATCAGGGTCTTTTGGGGCTATCATGCTGGCTGACTGTAAAGGGTTTATTTTTAGATGTGCTTTTGCGTTCCAAGGAGGAACTCGTTAAAATGCTTGCTGGGAAATTTGGAGAATGCGAGAAAATGTTGAATGTTTAGCTAAAAATGTTTGACATGCATTTCTGTTCATTTTCAGTTTGTAGTTGTGTTGAAGTTTTTTTTTTTTTTTCTTTTTTTTTTTTTTCCATTTGGACTTTAGGAATGGAATATTTGATTTTCAGGCCTGTGTTTAGCTCGGAAATGTTGGGATGTGAGTTTTCAATGTAGCATTTTTTTATTTTGCATGCTGTTTAATTTATGCGGAAAGCATTTCTGTCAAACATTTCTCAGATTCATGTCTGATTTTTTTATTATTTAATTTAATTCAGTGGCTAACTGTAGATTTTGCTTGGTATATCAACATTTGTATCTTGGAGCAGGTGCACACTTAAACAATTCTTTGTGATATGAAGGCATAATTGACATCAGTACGTTCCTACAGCTGTGTTTGATCTTTTAATTTCATGTTAAGACTTTCAGAGATGTTTGGCTTTCACTTTTTAATGATAATCTAGTGCTTACCTTACATCACAGAAACCAATGTTTCTGTGATGTCAATGAACTCAATTAACAGAGTAAACAATTTATTCTAGAAGTTAAAAGTTTCTTTTCACATTGTCTTTATTTTTTTTTTACATATTTATTTAATATTAAAACAATACATTACTTTATAAAAATATCCCTTTTTAAGCTGTACATAATATGAAGCTATGGTTTTAAATAAATAACCAACAGTTTTTCCAACACTTTGTATGACAAAAATGTCTAAATGGGATAGATAATAAATAATCAGAGGAAAGTAAGAGTTTAATAAATAGTGCAGTTATGTTGCTCTCACAATTCAGGGCACTGGATTCACGTTTTGACATAGCCAGCTAGGGAGACACAGATTTATCAGCATAATGATGTCAGTAGCGATTTCAACACTTCTGTTTCAGAAGAAGTTAATTGAGTTATTGTGGGAGCATAGCAGCCATGATGGATTTATAGGAACAGTTGCCTGGTTCAGGACTTTATTTCTGTGCCACTGCTCCAAACAATCTAGTGCCTCTGGAAATGTATTAATCTCAAACTTATTGGCGAACATGCTCTTCTTCTCGATGATCCATGGAATGTCTTCTATCCCATAGACACAGATGTCCCGTACATAATGCCCTGGGGAAAAAAAAAAAAAAAAAAAAAAAACATTTGAAGAAAAATCTGAACTGCACATATATATATATATTTTTACATTTCACACCCAGTGCTGTAAACCAGCGGTTAACTAGCATAATTTTACGGTCTGATACCTTTGCAACCATCATGTGTCTTTCCTTCTTGGTCCCTCCACTTGATTGCCCGGATAGCTCCTTCCCAACCTCCATCAATACGATTGCCTGGAGCTTCTGCATGTGACATGACAATATGAACATGAACAGCTGTACCAAAATTACAGAAGTATGTTTATAAACATGAGAAAAACATGCATTTTTACGTTAAAGATTTAGTTTATATTCATAGATCATCTCAGAAAAAAATGTCACATTCTATTCTACAGAAAAACATGAAGAAAAATGTAGCAAATGTATCACTCTTAAGAAAGTAAAGCAATTTAAATATAATTTAAAACTAAAGCATTTATAATAATATTTAACTAAAAAAAATCTTTCAGCAAGACATCCTATGAGGATTTGATTTGTTTTTTCACTGCTTATGTCATGCAGTCACAGTTCTGATTGCACAAGTATTTCCAAGACGGTTGAATTTCTGTGCACTCTTAGAGACTTGTGGAGGAGTCCACTTATGTAGTACTCAGTAATGTGATGCATGTATGACTAAAGGGAAGTCTGATTTCTCAAAGATATTCCTCTTCCTGACAAGTAATGGAATGAATTAACCATTTCCTGTCAACAGTCACAGCATCACCACTTCCAGTAAAAACCTTTTTTAAAGTCCCTCCCAAAGTCTTTTGTGCAGAAATGGTCCACGTTGTGCCATGCATCCTTGTAAAAATATTGAAAAGCAAACGGACACCCTAGTTGTATGAGTTCTCTGTTTGTGCAGCATGTTGGAACAGCAGCTTATCTACAGCAGAGAGGAAACAGATGAGCTTGTCAGGAAAGCCAGCTCTGTGTCCATGAGCCCCCGGGACTCAGTACAGGTGACGGGAAACAAAAGGACTCTGGTTAAAATTAAATAACATCACTGATGATCAGTGACAGACTGTTGCATTCTAAGGCTGCGTTCACACTGCAGCCTGAAGTGACCCGATTGCAAAATCAATTTTTTTTTTTTTTTTTTTGCCAGGGCCATTCACACTTTAACACATATGTGACCTCTATGTGTTCTGCAGTCTGAACGGACAAACGACCTGAAAGTGCCCCGCATGTGCACTAAAGGGCGCAATAGCTTCAGCGTTCTCAGTGTTCTGCCAACCGCCATAAAAAGTGCAGTTTGGAGAAGTAAACATGGTTGCTAGCATATTAATGACTTAATCCTCATTATAGTCCGTGATGGTTGTTGTTATTCTTCCCACCTGTGCGAATCAGGACGCAGAATAGTGAGATTTGCTGAGTATCAGTGACGTTCAGTTCGGATGAATGTGACCTGAACATTGGGTCGCATTTGAATCGGATATGCAAGTGGCTGGTTTGCATTCGAAAAGAATCCGACCTTTGCTGTTCAGACTGTCGTGAAAAGATCGGATACAGCTCACATTATGTCAAAAAACTCGAAATTGGGTCACTTCAGCCTGCAGTGTAAACGCAGCCTAAGAGCACAAAGGTGTGTTTTAGGAGATCCTTCCTCCCAGCGGCTGTTGCATTGTATTGCCATCATGTCTCCCAGAAAACTCAACAGGTGTTTACATCTCTTGCACATCTATTTTGTCTGCAGTTGTTATTGTCATATATTGTGAATAGTCTGTTGTGTTTAATGCACAAATACAAAAAAGAAATCTTACTCAGTTTCATACTCTTTGGATCGTAGTATGCTATTTCTCATAACTTCACAGTATGTTTTTACACTATAATCTTGCCCTTGCTAAGCAGTGTAACATTTTAAATTTTGTTTTTTTATATAAATATATATATTTTAATACTTTTGTCATTGTGTGAACCTACATGCTTTGATGTCCTGTCACTTTGTTGCTGTTCCACCTGTAGTCCCCACTGTGGTTAAATAAGGGATGTCTATTCTATTTTGATCGCAGTACTATATTGTGTGTCATATGTAAATGGAAATGTGCTACTTTAGGTAAAATATCATACCATGGCTTATTTTTTCACATTTGTCAAAATGTTGATGGTTTATCCTCTACCATTTATTTAGAGATGCCATAATTGTGTAATTTAATAACGAGGTGATGTTAGGTTTCCAGTTCTGTGTTGTTATAAAACACTTGTGTGCAGCACTTCCTTTCCAATGAAACAATTCATAATACAAATCTATTTTGTTAGAGTCCATCCCATGCTCCTGTGGTCAAACCACACTTGTTCAGATCACTCAGCATGCTGCACTAATAGCTACATCTCTCATGTATGTGATGTTGGATTATCAAATAGGCAGATATACTATTAGTTGTGTACATTTATTCTTTTTTTATTTTTCGCAAAGACTCGTTTCATCTGGACTAAATGTGTCTTTGGACACAAATGCCAGGGTGAAATGTTCTTTTGCTTGTCTCATCAGTTACTTAGTTGATGTTGCATTCCACATTTTACAAAATGCTAACAACAAATGATGTAATGCTGTCTCACATTATGTGAACATAAGCTGTTTGATCATGTTTCCTGTGTGGATCATCCCTCTAAGCATTTTAAACTCGTGTCAGTTAAACTCCTTAGATTTGTCCAGTTGGATTAGATTATTCTGTGTGTCTGTTTGAAACAAGCGGATTACCTTTTATGTGGTTGAGTGTCACAAAGTAGTGCTCGTCTGGACTAAATGTGTCTTTGGACCACTCCAGGAAGTCATGGGCTATTTGGTTCTTCAGAACAAAGTCCACAAAATCTCTTGTGAGAGCATAGTATGCCGTTCCAAAATAAATTTTCAAATTGTGAGGAGGAGGAGGTTTTGTGTGTCTTGGCACCCTTGGGGCAACATGTGACCCCACAATCTCATGATGCTGGAATCGTGTTCTGTGCTTCATAGTGGCTGGCTGTTTGACTCCAGGTGTCATGTTTTTGTCCCTCCATTCAGTGCTTTGCATATACTGCACCAGTTCCAGGTTGCTCATGGTTGGGAAATCTTGCCCACATAAATTTATTACTTTCCTCCAAGCTATCGGAGAGGCAATGAGATCCTTCATGCAGTTCAAGTCAGCTTGCAGGCGTGAAAATCCTGCATACGTCACTTTTTCACTGCGACTGGAGAGGAACACGTTACCAAAGCAACTGACGAGCTTTTGTACGGCTTCCTGGTACTCCTTTGGAGCCTTGGCATCCACATGTATGCAGTAAACATTTTGTGGCATGTAGATAGCTCGAAGCATACGAACAAAAATATCTAGCTCCTTGTGAATAGTGACAATGAAAGCCAGAGGATAGTTCTCTTCTTCATGACTCAGAGTTGTGTTGATAAAGTGTAGTTCTTTAGTCAAATTTGAACATTGCAGATTGGTACTTTGAATATAACTTCCCACCTGTGGAAAGAAGAAGTATATATTAATTCAGTTTCTTTACAGATATATTTTATTTGATTTTTTTAACAGTTCAGTTATTTAGAATGTACACTCACATTTTTGGGTAGTGCCAACCTGTTGATCTGTTTTCCGTTCTGTGGATCAGGATTTGTTATTTTACTTGTGTTCATGTCCTATTTTTTAATCATTTATTTCTATTATCGCCTTTATCAGACTTTCTACTGTTGTCTATACTGGTGCCAAGTCGGACCAGATCAATAAGCAAAGTACTGCTGAAATGTTATCAGTTGTCTGTAAATTTTTAACTTTTACCTTGACAAAATTAAATTGAATGTAAAAGCTGTTGTGCACTTTATCAGTCAAAGGAAATACATACCTGACAGTAATTTTCTCTTTTCTCAATGCCAGCCAGGGTGGGCTTACTGCTTGTAGGCGTTCCCACTAGTTTAGTTCTACTCAGCCAATAAATTATTGAACACGCCACAACCCCCAGGCAGAACAGGAAGCTACATTTTCTGCCTCCAAGCTGGTGCATAATAGCCTTGTTTCACTCTTGTATTTCAGCACCACCACGGCTTATTCCTATGAAAGAAACCCAGATTGGTTAGTTCCAGACAGATCTCTCTTTTGGGAATATCAAATAAGGTTAAACATGTAGGTTACATCTTATTGATGAAGCCACTTTTAAGTAGTCAAGTGTACAAAGTCTAGGTGCTAAAAGTGGGTATCTGACATGCAACACAAAAATCTTTTTATTAACCAATTCCTTTTTCAGACTGTGAAAGAGTCTGGTCAACAGTAAAGTATTATACATTTTAGATTCCATTATGTCAGTTAAACTAATAGATAACTACAAAAACACATACATATTGCAATATTCTTCTAACAGAAGAAAAAAAAATAATGAAACAGCTACTTCTCTGTCATAAAACATGGTTTTGTGTGTCCCCACTTCCTTTTGTAAGTCTCAATCACAAGAACGTCTTCCTGTATAGCAAGAAGACGTTGATCCCTTAAACCTGGAAACCATTCATTTTAATGGAGAAGAGCTACTTTCTTAAAGTCTCTGGTCAGGTTATGGGTGCATTTTCTTAAATGGTAATACATTGTAAATAACTAATTTAATAAATTTATATAGGACTTCTGTAATCATATCAACCACGGAAAGCATTTTTACCCTATATCCACATTTACCCGTCATCACTAACAGGCACGCACACAATCATGTACCTACATGCAGATCAGTAGATAGCTTTGGGTTTAGTACCATGTCCAGGTATGGTACTAAACCCATGGGAAGTTAGAATCAAACCTAAAATATTCTTATTACAAAACTCTTCACCCTAAGCTACAGTTGCATCTGTGGCTTAGGTGCAACTAAGCCACCTATGCCATTGTCAGAGGGGGATGTTATGGTATGGAAATATGCAGATTTCAACACTCAGTTTCGGTATGCTCAACTGTTAGTGACACATGAATTGGTAGTTTTATTGCATCATACAGCTAGTTTTTTATTTTTCTAATTGCATGTGAATGCATAGTGGCTATGATATATGCTTAAATGATAAACATTTCATTACTTTCAATATTTGAGCAAACTCTAAATGACTATTACTTCCATACCATTCCATTTTTGTGGATCTGTCAGAGTTTTTTTTTTTAATTGTTGTGGAAAAACGGTATGAATTTAATCGAAAACTTTACCTCTGTGTACACTTCAATGTTTTTGCATTGATTATCTTGTAATCATTAGAAATGTATATAGAAGTTGCCATCAGTCATTGTGGAGTTTTGTGGCGTCCTTAAGGTTGGAGCTATGAGGGTCCAGTAGTGCAAATAATTCTTCAGCAACTGTCACACTGATCATTCAGAGAAAGAACAAAAAAACTTCCACAAATGTATTTTATGCAACTATTATTCAGTAAGCTGTTGGAAAATGTTCTATCTCTCTTGTCTTTTACAGACTTGCCTAAATAAAGGTTTGAGGAAAAAACTTCACATAAATGGGGGGATGGTTAAACATGGAGGCGCCAGCTGATCGACAGAGTTGTTTTTACATATCTCATGTTCAAAGTGGCATAAAATCTCTGCCTGAACAAACAAAGAGATATTTTCGCTCTTCTAAGATCATTCATAATGTGCTAGAAAAAACAACAAAAATAGCATGCGTTGTTGAATCCGACACAGTACAAGAAAAGCACAATTCCCAGAGGGAAGTGATATTTTGAGGAAATATGTAGATTTACAGGCTTCTGTTGAAATACTTTTCCCCAGTTGCCATGTTGATCTGTGGATTTGATAAAAGAAACAGCAGCTACTTGTATAGGAAATGCCTTACAGCTTTTTGCCTGCCCTCAGATTGCTTTGAAAGAAAATGTTTGCCTCCTACTGTTTTCTTGTTTTTGCTTTGTAACAGTTAACAAAGTTTCAAATCATGTAAAAAAAAAAAAAAAGCAAAAAACATTCAAGCCAAGCAACTCTAATGTAAAAAAAATATAATTGCCTTCCTCAATCATGAACATCTGAGCCCATTGTAGGCCTAACTTCCCTCAGAAGAAATCAGCGGTCATGTTTCAAAGATAAAAATATAACTGGACTGAAAAAACCCCCACTGCTGACCAAAATTAATTCAAAGTCGCTTGTCTCATTTCCCTAAATAAACATGTTCTAATTGCTACGATCATAAGGAAAGTATTTTGTGAACTGAGTCAAAAGGGACAATTTTCGGGAAGGTATATGGTGAAATTTGAGAAAAAGAGCATCATACTGAAAGTTTACAGGGCTGGTATTGTGGTCGGGGTCTGCTTTGCTACTTCAGGAAAGCAGAGGAATTGATGTAAATGAAAGTACTTTGAGTTCTGCTTTCTACCAGAAAACCCTGAGGGACATTATCCACTCCTCAGTTCATGACTCATGTGTGCAAGTCATATAGCAGAACATTGATCCACTATATTCACTTCTGAAGTCCTTAAAAACAAACAATTTGGAAGTTTTTTAGAGTGGCCCAGTCAAAGTCCAGGCTTAAATCCAATTACTATTCTGTGCCATAACTTTAATTTGTTTATTATCAAAACCATTCCAATTTGTGTGCAATGAAACAATCCTGCAAAGAAGAGTGGGCCAAAAATAAAACAGTATTTGCCACATTATCAAAACACTTGAGGACAGCTATTACTACAAGCAGTTAATAGGTTGAAGGCTTCTTCTCTTCTTGTTTTTCTATGCTGTCGGTTTTTAATAGTTTTTTATTCTTGGCGAATTAAAAATTTGAAAACCACATTTTCTGTTTACATAGGTTGTCCTTGTCTTAGTGTAAAATTAGTTTGATATTCTGAAATATCAGAAACACATAAAACAGCAGAAAACATTAAGGGACAAATACGTCTGAACAGCGTAGTCTTTAGTTTTACAAGACAACTGTTCCACTTCCCTCACACTTTTACCTCAATTATTTATATTCTGTGTAGATCAAACTCTTAAATCATCATTTGTGTCAAAAACAAATTCAAAAACATGCTAATTTACCTTCAGTAGGCAGTTCAGTCTGTTGTCTCTATGAAGAAATAACACTTTAAATCTTCAATCCTCTCAGGCTTCAATGCTCCTCAGAGCTGTCAGACTACAACCCGCACAGGGAAGTCCTCTCCACTAGCTCCATCAAGAAGAACAGCAGCAGAAATACGTACACTACTTCAGAGCTATATTTGGTTGTAAAGATCGCTTTGTTGTCCTCTGGCGGGGGCTGAGTCCTCTGAGCTCCAGTGTCTCTTAGAGTGAGCTGTGTGTGTTATGCTCGAGTTGTACTCATTGCTGATTAGGTCGCTCCTACTCATATCCCCGTGAGAAAAGGTTCATCCTTCCCTGGTTGCCAGCAGTAACACAAAATGACACACGTGACATACAGGAACAGACTCACTCATCGCACTCTTAAGGTTTTTTTTTTTTCCACTCTCCTCCCACATACGGCTTCCTACTTGCTTGTGCTTGCTGTATTTCTCTTCCTCTTTCATTTTTATCTGTTTTACCTCAGCCCATTTTATCTGTCCCCTTGCTCTTTGTCCCTCCATGTGTAATTAGGTCATACGTAATGAATCACCCATACAGCCTTTTCTGGTAAATGCCACCCCTCTTGTTGTTCTTCTTGCAGATGATGAGCTCTCGCAGGTTCCTACTTGCCCTATTTGTTGATTTGATGTTAAGTGCTTTGCTTGCTAGTGGTCTGCCTTCTGTGGAAATGGCAGCATGAGAGTTAATGACTTCAGAGCAACATGCACAGAGGTTGTTTGCTGCTTGGTCAGCTTCTGAGCTTATCCCTCTTGTGTTGGACAGAGCACATGGCCAGAGCCCACACCCACAGTGGGGTATGATTGCACAATAGATCCCTTGCTGGTTGTTTCCCTTTTAATATTTGTGTGTGTGATTTCCTTTTTATTACAAGAAAGCCATTTTACTTGTTCTGTTCTTGTAGTACAGACATGCACACGTAAATAATTTTTGAACTCTGAAAATACTTTTAAGTGTAGCATGTTTTTTGTCTGTCATATGAAAATGGGTAAAAAATTGTTTCCAAAAAGGGTCCAAGCAGAAATTACATTTGCTAGTCATTGTAATGACAGCAAAGCTTGAGAACTATGTAATTAAACTTCATTATTGTTGTGCCAAAGCGTGTACCGTATTGTTTATAGTGTTTTATTAGATTTTATGGTAACACTTTATTGAAGGGGTGTGCATAAGACTGACATTTCAGTGTCATAAACATAACATCCTCATGAATGTTTGACATTTGTCATAAAGTGTCATTATGCAAATAATGACATTTTTAATGCAACGTTGACACTTTTAATGGACTTTTAATGCACATTTTAATAGAACTTTGCATTAAGAGGGTCATATTGACCGAATGATGCAAAGTTTACACTATTTTAATGGAATTTTAATGCAACTTTTAGTGCAACTTTGCATTAAAAGTGGGATTATTTACCAAGTGCCCCTTGCACAGCCCTTCAAATAAAGTGTTACATTCACTTCATTGTCTCATTGGGTAAACTGAGTACACCCTGAATACATGTAAATAGCCTTCCATATTTTACTATTTGCCTCTTTTGTCTATCTAATCAGTGCCACACATCCCTCACATATTTTGTTGCAGATTTCCATTAATCATCCTAAACAAACATTTAATTTGCAAGACAAAGCAGGGACCGCATTTACTTGTTGAAAGTGCTTCTCGAACTCATTTAACCCTGGCAAACGTACCTTTTGGACCAGAACATGAGTCAAATGTGCCCTTGTGAATTGTGTCTGTACTGTGAAAAATATTAAAATATTAAGACACTTGTAGTTTTTTTTTTTTTGCTAAAGCCAATGCAGTTTATTCAATAGTCATACTTATTTTCTGGTTTCTGTTCAATTCAACATAATTGCTCTTTGATTAGATCACATGTATTTTCAGTAGCATTCTTATAGAAAATGAAAGACAGTCACCTAAAAGCAAGTACCGTTAAGCCTAAATTCATTCTGCCCCTTGATAGATTTAGATTTTTTGATTGATACTTAGGTTTGCTGATTGACATATTAGTTTTATTTTAGGGTTTGACAGCAAGTATCTGACAGGAAGTAGCTAAAGATTAGGGTGAAAACAAGGAGGCCTTCGTAACTCAAATGCTTCAAAAAGCTCTTTACCAAAGATAAATCATCAAAATACCATTGCAAAAGTCTGCAGTAACCATACAAATGTATTGATTAATGTATAGTGTAATGACAATAAGGTTTTATTTATTTATTTATTTTTTTTTTTTTTGTGTGGTGTCATTAAAATATTTTTTCAAATCATTCACACTATAGTAGTAGGTAATGTAGTATCCCAGTACTCAATGGGAAATACTCAGGGACAACTCAGGGACAACTGACAGATGAGATATATTTTATTTTCTAGCTACTGGGAACCCCACCCTTTTTTACTCCACCCTGGTCAACTGCCCATATCAACTGCCCATATCTATGGATGTTTTCAAAAAATGTTTAAGAAATTAGTTTATTATTTAAGTATTGCAAAAGAAGTATTTATCAATATTCTTTTTAGATATTTGTATATATTTTTATCTTTTGACATAAAGTTGTTTCAGTTCCTTCTAATAGAAAATGTTTTCTGTTGAATGATAGTCACTTAAAATTTTAGAGGCATGAATAATTTTGAGCTTACCTGCTCATTACAACAGTTTTAGGTTCTTGATTATTTTATTGTATTTTATCAAATTAGATGATCCATCTTTCGATTTTCTGTTGTCTTTTTTTACTTTAAATTGTTTCTTTGCATTACAGTGTGGGGATCCTTTTAAAGATGAAGACATAGTTGTGCTTAATGGCACAAAAGAGGAGGTCCAGAAGCTGAAGGAGAAGATGGAGGAGAAACGAGTTAAAGCAAAAACCAAGGTGAATTCTGTTGTGAAAATTTATGAAGATGCATTGGAGTTTTTTTCTGACCATATTGGTGGGCTTGTCATGATAACACATTTTACTATATTATAAATTGTTCCATAAAGTAATGAGATAAATTATAACATTGTTGTTTTGAGACCATTTTCAGCTAACATAATGATAACTACATAATAATGCAACTATACACCTAGGCCTGTCACAATAATAGATATTATTGGATGGTACATTTCCCAAGAAATTATTGCGATAGACAATAATAATGTTTGTTTTGAGACCATTTTCAAGTGATATGTTAATAATAGCATAATAATGCAAGTTTGCCTTCTCAAAGACTAATAAAATAGATAAAACACAACCAAAACCATTAATTAAATGGTTAATATGATATCTCAGAATGGAAATTATGGAGCTAATTTTAATTTATCATGTGATTAATTGATTGATTAAAGGCTTATAGTGTGTAGGGATATTTAACTTATTTGTAATCATAATCTGTCCTATCTTCTTTACAGAAATCAAAGAAGAGCAAGGCAGTTGAAACTGTCTCTGCACCACCAGAATCCAAAGGTCTGTTCAAAGTCCAATTGAGGCATTATGTTATTCAGAAATTGATTTACTTAATCATAATTATACAGCTTATAAAATGCTCCCCGTGATTTGGACATCACTTTGTATGGTGCGACCTGTCTATCACCAAGTTGCCTTTGAGCCTGATGACGTTTACAGCTTATCGTGACCCCACAACTTGACTGAATATAATACAATTTGTTTATTCTAGAATTTTCTACCCTGGTCTTCAGTAGCCCTGATTCTAAAGAATTACTTAATGAGCCATAAAGACTCACCATTGGGTCTACAAAACCCTATTCATCACCTGTTTATTTAAATCAGGTGTGTTCGAGCAGGGCCATATGTAAAACTCTGACTGTATGTTCCAACAGCCAGGATTAGAAAACTCTGGTTTACTCCATGAAGTAGATTCATTACTGTTCAATCCTAATTCAAATCCAAAGTACGTTATAGATCCTAAAGGGAAATTAAATGTCAAGTAGACCTGTTAATATGTCTAGTACTAAAAATTATTTTGGGTTACATTTTTTTCAGCTAAGAACTTGATATATCATTACTGCATTGCAACATACAATTTTGCCTTAATACATAAAGTAAGATTAGAATGAGTAAATGTAAAAATAATAATGCTATTTTTAGTATAAAGAAACATTTATCATTTCTGTATTAGAACCCATCTCAGTAGTCGGTGGCTTCCTGTTTACAAAAGCACAATAGTTACTCAAAAAGGATGCTTGTGCTTTACAGGAGAGCCAACTACAGTGCCTTGTGAAAGTATTCACCTCCCTTTGGCATTTTGCTACCTCACAACCTGGAACTAAAATGAATTATTTCAGGGTTTGCATCATTTCATTTGCAAAACAAACAAAATTAGAAAGTCTGCTGACGTTTCTGTATACATCTGCTTTACTCATGGATTCACCTCAGCACAGCTATAGTGGTTAGGTTTCTAAGGGCTGGAGAATAAATCAATAATAATATGTATTGCAAGAGAGGTTTGATCAATATAGGTAGATAATACATTTGATGGAAAATTCAAAATTCAATTTATAGAATATTCTTTGAACTCCAATCCAGAACTATACAGTATTCTTGGAGATATCGGCACATTTAAGACTTTAGCTGCTCAACCTCACAACCCACTAAGCCAAGTTAGTGGCTTCAACTAACTTACTCACTCTTTGGTTACCTAGCAACAACAAGCTGGGTAAAGAGTAGTTTCAAGTTCAACCTCAACTTTAGTTACATAGCAACAACCTGTTGAACAACTTGCACAGCAGCAGTTTCAGGTTTTGCTACCATGTCTCATAACTGCTTAAAAATAAAAAGCTATAGTGTGGAGTGAAAACTGTGGATAAAACAGGTAAGGCCACACCATCAGTATGGCAGTATTTCAGATAACAGAAAACTAATCAATAGTTATTGATATCGACTAATATGAAACACTAAAATTGCGATGAGTTTTTTAGGATTATTGTCCACCCCTAATTTCTAACCAGAGCGTATTATGTACTCTACACACTTGGGTTTTGCAGTTTCCAAGGGACACAGTAAATGTTGTCATCTTCTAAAGCTGCTTTATTGATTCTCTTGTCCCTCATTTGGATGACAGTACTAATTATTTTATCGATAATCAGCCTGGTACTGTTCTGTGCACTGTTGACTGTTGACTGCTGACTGCATGCAGTTTAGTCTCTATTTACATTTTGTTCTTTTATTTATTTTTTCCTTTAAACTTTATCTCTCTCTTCAATGCTACATTTTTGATTGAAAAACACTAACTGATCCAACAGAAGGTAACCCTTTGTCTTACTTTGATTGTTTTGCATTATTTTATATTTAAAATATGTTTTCAGCTTATTTTTCTGTGGTTTGTCTTTGTAGTTATATTATCTGCTTGTGAAATAGCAGGTGTCTTTAGCAACTTAACCACATTGTGAAGATAAACCGTTCAGCCAATTTAGCTGGAAATTTGTTCTCTTTTTTTTGTTTTTTACAAACATTAGTGTTACGTAATGGACTGATTCAAACATGTCGCTTATCTATTTCCCCTTCTCTCTGTGTCTCTGTTTCTTTCTGTACTGCTGGAGGTACAACACTACAAGCTTTAATTTAATCAGAAGTCATTTGCTGTCCAGTGAAGATCAGAAATTACATTGGTTGAACCTCAGAACTCTGCGTCCATGATGACAAGTTAGAGGAAAACACAGAATTATTTATTTCCAACATCACATATGATGAAGCACATTTTAAATACAGTGGTGTAATTAAGGCTTAAACTAGTAATTATTTTAGTAATTAATTAATCTATTGGTTATTTTGATGATTAACCAGATAAAAATTGACACATTCTGCAGATTTTTCACAGATGAATGACAGCTGAATATCAAAATGCATTTATGCATTGGCTAATTTTCTTTTTGAGTAGACAAACAATTGATGTACCCAGTAAAGTAACTGGAGAGAACAAGTGTATGGCTATTTTTGTTTTATTTTTTTAGCTGGTGCAGCTAAAACCTTCTGCACAGTTATGTATATGGAAAAAAGCTTTGGACTTTACTGTCCAACTTACATTCAAAATTATTTTGAGTGTGATTTTCTTGACTCTGAAAGAAATGTTAAACGGCCCAACTAAAGCAGGAACTTCTCATGAACCAGGTTATACTCTGCATTCTGAATCTTGGTGTGGTTTCCTGTTAACCTCTTATCTGACCAGAGAACAAGTAGCTAGCTGCAAAATAACAATTGCAGCTACAAAAACTTTTCCATCAACTTAAAAATCTAGCTTTTTGTTCTGCATGTATGGAAGTTATTAATCATTACAACACAAGGATAACACAGTTTTCAATCTTTGTTCATTATAAATCAAATTGCCGCTCTTCTCTTTTTATGGATTTATTTGGTTTTGCTTGTTATTGCACCAAATCCTCTCCCAGAGGGCTTCTATCCTCCTCCACTTATCTGAATCCCTATCTCCCTTTAAAACATGTGTTAAACAACAGTAGTGCCTGGATACAACAGCGCTTTTATGATATTGGACACAATGACTTTCTGTGTCTTAATTATTTTTTCTCCCACCCACAGAGGATGCCCAGTCTCCACCAGTAGATGTAGCTGGGAGGAAATCCCAACAAAATGGAGACGAGAGCAGCCAATCAGGTGGATAAACACAATTAGCTGAAGGACTTTGAGACAGAGCTTATGTTTACTGAATTACAAAAAAAAAAAAAAAACTTTTTATTTTTCAGTTTTGTTTTTTTTATAAATTTGTACTTTTGAGATATGGGAAAATGCAATTTCAAACTTATTTTGTAATAAATATGGCTGCTTAAATGATGCTAAATTTTCATGAGTCCCACCCTTTTTGAATATAATTTTGTCTACAACTGTATCCCTCTTTTATTTGCCATGCCTAACCCTGCTACTGTGTCTCTCTCCCTCCCAGCTGTGGCTGGACCTTCTGGTACCTCCAGCTCCACAAAAGGCTCCAAATCTTTGGCAGCTTCTGCCACCAAGAGATCTATCCAAGACATGGAGGAAAAGTCTGAGGCTTTCAAGTCCCTCTTCACCACCCACAGCTCTGCTAAACGCTCTAAAGACCAGACGTCCAACTGGGTCACTCACACACCTTATCACTTTTAACAGCTATTTCTCAGTGCAGAAAACATGTTCTTTTGTTGTTTCTTTTCTTTTCTTTTCTTTTTGTTTAATTCATTAATTCAAGTCCCTCATTATGTAAACACCACACATGCATCATTCAGCTGACCTTTAATAAAGTCACCAGTATGCAAATTCATTCCCCGTTTACCTGTTCAGCTCCCAGTAGCTTCTTGTTTACATGTTGTGAACATTTTGCGAATCCCTCCCTATACACTTTGACGTTGTTTTGTAACCTGATGTCCTAATACAATTCCCTCATGTATTCCTCCACACCTCTGTATTTTCAGGTTGCTAATTTGTCTCTGTCACCTCTTACCTCCTTTGTTTGTGCTCTGTTCTACTGTGCCCTTATATCTAGAGTTTCTCTCTTTAAATCCATATCTATATAGTTAAAGATTTAAAATCCTGATAGAAAACAATGTTGCGTTGTCTATCAAGTTCACTCTGACCGGAAAATAGTCTTTCGTGTGACTTTGGAAAGTAGCTCATGCTGCCTTATGCTTTACTGCAAAAACTGACTTTATTGAAATAATTAATAATTATTAGTTTCCTCTTCAAACAACAATCTTCTTTATGTCCAGCCTTTGGACAGGAAAATCTGTTACATCTTTAACCCTCATCTCTGAGCAGTCTTCCCCCCCCCCCTACTTGATTTTCTTTTTTTGCAATTTCTCATTTTTTGTGCATTGAGGGA